GGACGGATGGGGTTCCAATATAAAATCTACTTTATAATATTTATTTAATTTATAATTCTTCCACAAAACTTTGGGGTGCATCACTTAAAGCAGGGACAAATTGGTTATGTTTGAAATGTTCAAAAAATGATATGCAAGTTAAAAAAAATTGGCATAAACTCCCACGTATTCAAACAAGCCACATTGGCGGCCAGCTCCTGAAATTCGTCTTCTTAGGTAGAAGTAAAATTGATTATAAGGATACTAGACACAAGGCGACTCTAGTAAAGTTTTGAAATTGTGGCTGCACCAATAGCAATATGCCTGTGCCTGCTTCTACCTATCAAACAAGTTGCCTGTCAATCGATAAAACCAAGAATGTAACCAAAACAGACAACAGTAGGAAGAAAGGCAACTATTGAAAATTTTGGACTGGCAACACAAGTGGAACTTTCAAAAGCACGAAACCTACTAATTCTAATTCACTTTTTGTTAAGAATTTGAAGTAGTGAACGTCACCTGCCATGCCGGACAAGAGAGGTAGTAGACCCGAATTCGATCGAGCATTAGACAAGCGCCCTGATCCCGAATGGCCAACCGCATCCATCCGTTCGTGGCAGACGAAGTTGGCAATAGTCCCGTTGATTGATCAATCTGAGGTCGAAATCGGATTAGCCAACTTGTCACTGCAGTGTCATCCGATGGATATGTGGAACTCCACTTGCTATCAGACGATATTGTTGCCAACTTCTTGAAAGACTACAAAGAAAGCATCTGCGTATTAACAAAATTTGAGAGGTGTAATTGGGCTTTTCGCAAGGACTAAAGTTTTGTACACAATTTTCCACTTATGGGGTGTGCGATAGACTTACCTCCACGTGGTGCACCCTACAAGGGGTGTGCGATAGACTTACCTCCACGTGGTGCACCCTGGTGGGTGTGCGATAGACTTACCTCCACGTGGTGCACCCTGGGAAACGTATACTCATACGGTAAAAAGTCTATTAACCGGAAGTTTGTGTGCGATAGACTTACCTCCACGTGGTGCACCCTGGGCAGCGTATTTTCTTACGGCAAAAAAGTCTATCACTCGGCTTTCGTTATATTCATACGGCAAAAAGTCTATTAACTGGCAGTTAACTACGATAGACTTACCTCCACGTGGTGCACCCTGGGCAACGTACTTTCTTACGGCAAAAATTCTATCACTCGGCATTCGTTTTTCAATAGACTTACCTCCACGTGGTGCACCCTGGGCAACGTATAATCATACGGCCATACGGCAAAAAAAGTCTATTAACTGGCAGTTGACTTCTTAAAAAAGTCTATTATTCGGCAGTTGACTTCTGACTTCAAAGCGGCAAAAAAGTCTATAAACCGGCAGTTGACTTCTCACTATCGGCAAAAAAATTCTATTAACCGGCAGTTGACTTCTGACTTCAACGCAAAAAGGTCTATTAACTGGCAGTTGACTTCTCACTTCACAAAAAAGTCTATTAACCGGCAGTTGACTTCTGACTACTCAAACGGCAAAAAAGTCTATAAACCGGCAGTTGACTTCTGACTGAAAATCAAAAAGTCTATTAATCGGCAGTTGACTTCTGACTATTTCCACAGTAGCTCACCCCACTGTATGTCATATTCGACCCCTTCCACAGTACGCCACCACCCCACTGTATGTCATATTCGACCCCTACCACAGTACTAACCCCACTGAATGCCGTATTCTACCACTTTTACAGTATCCATCACCCACACTGTATGTCATATTCGACCCCTTTCAAAGTACTCATCTTACTTTAACGGTACAAGTCTATTAACTGGCAGTTGACTTCTCACTTCAAACTAACAAGTCTATCAACCGGCAGTTGACTTCTGACTTCAAACTACGTCTATCAACCGGCAGTTGACTTCTCACTTCAAACTACCAATCACCCCACTGTATGTCATATTCGACTACTTCCAGAGTACTCAACTGTATGTCATATTCGACTACTTCCACAGTACTCGTTATTTTGTATGTCATAGTCGACTGCTTCCACAGTACTCACACCACCTTTTTCCACTTTTGTGTTTGTCTTTTTTACATCTTTGAAACTCTCTTCTGTTCCCCCTCTCCCTCTCGACTTGTGTCACTTTGATGTGCCTCCTCCACTGTGAAGCCTGAAGTCAACTAAAGGGCTAATGATAACTTTCACAAC